CTTTCTGAATATGCTGACTACGATGGCGGCGAAACGTCCACGGTCCGACTTAGGAAGTGATCATGCATACAATGGACTCCGGACTTGGTGCATTTCTCTAGGTCTTCCTACAAATATAACCAAGTTGCTAAAATAAGGTCAAACAACCTCTATACAACAAAAGGAGACTGCGACCACACAAAAGGCCACATCATCTTGGTCTTTATACCTTCGATCAAATCATGGAATGCCTCATTAAGATCGCAAAGTGAGGTATACGAAGTAAATAAGATCTCAGCTGATCATCTTTCTTGGTTTAATGATCTTTGGTGATTTTTCGTGAATAATGGTTTCTGGCCCTGACGATATCCGTCACAGGACCTCGAACAATTCAACAGACAAAAGTCCAAGACAATCTTCCTGTGATAACTTGTAAGGCCAATCTACTAATCCATTTCACGAAATGAAAGTTACGCCAGTATCAATCTATTAAGAGATTCTTCGAAACCAAGCTTCTCTTCATATACTCTCTTTACTATTTGTTTTTAACCACAGATGTCACTGCGGACCAAATTGTCCATTCCGGGTCGTTCAACAGGGTCGGAGGTTTCCAGTCACAGTGTTTCGCACCAAGAATCGTGGATGGGGTGTAAAGGCAGCCACTCGGATTCCTAAGGGTTCTTTCCTAATGGAATATCTTGGAGAGGTCAGCTTATTTATACTTTTAATATTACGCTCTCCTACTTGTTCCTTATACAATTTTCCTTTGCACTGATATAAAAATACGCGAATTCTCCATTTCATGCAATCCTTTACCACTCAATTCATCATACTTAATTAGTTAATGTTATCGCATACTACGCAATTTGTAAATTTTTTTACTATGTTTTGACTAATTTTACCTAGGCCTATGGCGAACCATCTAGTTATATAACTTGCTTGACCTTGTTTTTGCAACTTGGTCATATTGGCAGGAAGGCCTAGAGGAACGCACCTTGTCCGGAGTCCATAGTATTCATGATAATTTCCAGTTGGACCGTGGTTTTGGTACATTCCCAGACGTTTTGCCGGCATCGTCTTTGAGCCTTGCCATTCTTAGCACCACACTACAACTCGTCAAAGAGACAAGTGATGTCGATCCTTTGACCATATGTGTGATAAATGATTGTGGTATTTAGCCTTCTGTCCTGGGTTATTCACCTATCATATATCCTCATATTACCCCTTCAATATCACAATTTTCTACTTTTTTATCTATACCTATTTGAAATCTATTCAAACTCCCTGCTGGTTTCCTCATCCTTCACACTGTGCCGGGAGTGTTGATCCAAGGTTTAATCCGCACTCCTCTCTCTTTGGGTTCTATCAGAGTCCTCCTCTTGCTTCGTAAGATCCTTATCTTATCTGTCTGTTTCAATGATTTCACTCCATCACTGCCATACCAGGCTTTTCTTTTCATATAAAAAATTCGTTGTCTTCTGGCCTTATCGGAAACTAAAGAAATTTTTTCATATTATGCATTCTAATGTAAATATATGAGTCATTGGCGCACCCTCTAGTCCCTATTAATCTATGCATGCAAT